GGGGTCACACACTAAAACCAAGACACTTGGGGGGTCACACTAAAATCAAGACACTTGCGGGACAAAAAGAAGGGTTGGTTGGTGGCGGGGAAAAAAAAGAAAAAGTCGACTATTCTTCCTCATCATCACTTGGACTCGATGCCGCCGCAATCTTTGAAGGGGTGAGAAGCGACGGCCGCCCACTTTGCTTCGTTTGAAAGGTCCAGCTCCTGGGTGTTGTCGATCTGGGTTTTGACCCGTTTCCACAACTTGGACGGGTACTTCTTTCCAACACCGTAGCGTTCGCAGATCGGGTCAAGCACGCCCTTGGGAATCCTTGACAACCCCGGCTGAATGTCCATCGCAATTTCTACCGCCATGGCATAGCGCCTACCAACCGATAATTGGGTGCCCCTTTTGCGAGGTGGTGTGCTGGGGGGCGATTCCATCGCTAGAGTAGGGTAGTAAAATGGATTTGAGAATTTTGTCGAGAATTCTCATTTAATATCCCAAAAATATTTTCTTAAAAATATTCCCAAAACAGGCCAAAATAGGGTACATTTTGACCAATAGTAGGTACAGAAATAGATGTTCGTTTTTTTTTTTCTTTTTTTCTATCGCTTCGTCTTTGTTACATCTTTCTTACAAACCCGACTATGCTACCATCACTAACACGGTTGCACCCAGACAATCTATTGCATTTAGGTACCCTAACTTATGATACAGGAGAAGTATTACACACCTACCGTGGCTTGCCGCAGCAGCTACAACAACGCTCACAGCAGTGGCAGCAAAACAGCACACACTCCAAGCGCTGCCTAAACACTGTCTCGCCCTTCCTGCCCCTGCGGCAGTCATCAGTGCGTGCCATCTTTGGGCAGATGGCCCGTGACCACCGAAGGCGTCGGCGTCAGCTCAACCGGTACGGACATTTAGAAGGCACAGCAGTCGACCCCGCTTTAAGGACACCCATCGTTTTTCTTTTTTAAAGTCCTCAACGCGGCGAAGTGTTCATAAATTGTGAACTCCCTCCTCAATATTGCATACCTGCGGGACACCATGCTTCGGAGAACTTTGTTATCCTTCAAGCGAGGAGTTGACGTTAAAAGAGTGTCCTTAAATTGGGGGCTTCCAACAAGAACAATAACACTAGTGTCAAGGAAACAACAGCAGCAGCAGCAGCAGCAGCAGCAGCAGCAGCAACAACAACCAACAAGATGATCGACTCACCACATGTTGGTGCATCGGCGGATGACTTCCAGGTTGGCGGCCGACTTGTGGCGGGTGTGCTTGACCCGGTTGTCCCGAATGGCCTTCCGCATGGCCTTCTTAAGCTCCGCCGTGATCACGTGCTCGCTCAGATAGGCGTGCTACAAAAAGGACGATAAACAAGATAGAGGGGGGGGGTTAGGTGGGTGGGGGGAGGCGACAAGACAGACCTCTCGAGGTCCTTAGTCCACCCTTTGTACAGCAGCAACAAGGAACTTGAGAAGAAACTGCTGTACGGTTAATTTATCATCTCTTCCAACTGCGAAGAGAATGGCGTCATAATTGTATTCATCGATACCGCGTCTCTAAACCTAAACGATACCGCATGCTGCAGGCAATCTGCACCATTCATACAAGTGTCAAAATGCTGATCGACGATCGATCTGCCGATACCGGTGTCGACAACCGATTTGTTTCTCGAACTCCTCGTTCACAATGTTCACATCTCCCAAAGCTATCAAACGCAACAATCATTTTATATTGGCTGGCTCACCGTTACATTCGTGTTCTTTATCGCCTCCACAAATTGCCACCACGTGGCGAGCTTGACCTTGTAGTTCTCCCCGGCGTTGAGGCACCAGATGTTGCCCCTGCGCAGCACCTTCGCCAAAGCCCCCACCTGGGTTAACGTACCGTGATTTCGTGCCCTATAGTCAGACCACCATCATGATGCCGTGCCACCATGCTTTCAATCATTGCCAGGCTGCCGCGTTGCATCAACTATCAAGTCTCCATGCCATCGTGGTGTTATACTCCTTTCAGGTGATAACGCATTTTTGCCGTTTGAACTGCTACCACCATGTTCCTATGATGGCAGTCAGCTTTCGCGTTGTCAAGCGGTCATGTTATCGTTGGAACATAACACCAGCAGAAACGCAAGGGGGGTAAAAAAGGGGCCCCGCACACAGCACTACGCCACACCACCGGCGTACCAACACCGAACGAGGCGGAGAGATGGCACCCCCCCCTACCGACTTTCGAAGCTCGATTGTCTGTACCCTACCGTATACCGTACCGTGGTACCGTGAAAGTGCGTGTGATGGCACCGGGGTGCGATCGTTTTTTAAATCATTCCTTTCTTGGTTTTTTATCGCACCCTGGTGCCATAGCACCGATGGGCGCCATAACACCGATACCGGTGCGGAAATGCAATATAATAATTTCGTCCTAGATTCCCAACGCACCCCCGGTGCGATGACACCGATAGGTGCGATGCTCAAGAAACGAACAGGCGAAGACTACATGTTTTCGTCTTGCGTGCTGTAACTCTTGCAGTAGGAGCTTGCGTAGACGGTACCATGCAACCAGCCCGGCCGGAGTGGTGATAGCGATGAGGTCGAATCCGAGTTTGGGGTGGCGCGTGCCAAAGGAGGCAGACGCTGTTGCTCCCTGCTGGGGAAGGTATGTATACGGCGGGGTATCGTTTTCTTCCAGCCTCTTTGTTAGTCGCAAGCCCCTCTTTTGTTGGCTGGTGCTTCCCTCTGTCTTTGTCTGCCTCAAGGGGCATGGTATCGGTGCGATTGTAGTACCGTTCACGAACTCCTTCTTCTTGTTGTTCGGTTGGTTGAAGGTGCGGGACGTGTACTGCTGTGTGCTTGGTTGAGTGAGTGAGTGCGTTTGACGTACGAATTCCCGTAGAAAAAAAAACAAAACATTTCTACTGCGCACAACGGTACGATATAGATACATGAAATGGCGCCCGAATTGGTACCTGCCAACCGCGTTACACGCCGTTCGACACGTGGCCCGGATGGTACCGGCACCTTGCGGAAGCACGCAAAAACTTCGTCTTAGCAGGTTATATATGGTTGACATCGCACCGGGTGCGATAGCACCGATACCGGTGCGGAAATACAATTAAAACATGCCGTTCTTGATATTTTGGCGCACCCCCGTGCCATAACACCGATGGGTGCGAAATCACCGATGAGTGCCATCGCACGCACTGTTATGGTATTCCCGTAATAGGCGGAGAGATTGCACTCCCCCAGACCGACTTTCAAAGCATATTTGCTCCGCAACCAAGTACAGTAGGTCCTGAACGAGCCGGTAACGTCTGTGGAAAGCCGTCGACGAGTTTCTTCTAAAACTACCATTTTGTGGCGGCACACTCTTGGTTGTGAAGCAATCGAGCTGTGAAAATTGGCCCAGGGGGGTGCCATCTCTCCGCCTAGTACGGTAAAACACATGCTCTTGAACCTCAGTGTGTAGATGTGTGCATAGACAGGGGACCCAAAAAGAACGGTCAAATTGAGGGGGAAAGTAACCACAGGGGGAAACGTGAAAAACATAGAAACTCCAGTGCTGTACCTTGCTCTGCCGTGACCCCTCCTGGTTCGTCAAAAAATAAGCTGAACATATACAGAAAGGTGTAGACTGGCGCCCAGATTCCACAAGACATAAAAACAACTGTGAACGTTCATGATATTGATCCAACACGTTGCACTTTCTATTTCTTCAAGAAAATCCAAAAAACACAAATGAGCAAGAATGCTTGGGTTTCCTTGGGTTTTCGTTCGCCAGCAGCCGTTTCGCGCACCACAAGAACGCACCTGCTCATCTCGAAAGCCCTCGTTGAAGTTCTGTATGTAGAGGGCCTGGCAGTTGTCGTTCACCATCAACGCCTCCAGCACGGCATCGATCACCGCCGTGTTCACGTCTGGGCCCAGGTAGTGGTGGAGCTTCAGCACCTCCACCTCTGGATCGTTCGCCCTGTGGAGACAAGCAGGGATAGCAGAACACAGCAGTTCGCATCATTACACCATCATGATCAACATCAGCCCAACAGCAGATCAACGACAGCTACAGAGACAATGACAGCAGCAGGCACTACGGCAACTTCGGCATCAACAGCAAAGGAGACCACGACAGTAGCCGCGATAACAGCAACTTCGACATCGACGCTAGAAGTAGCAACACAGCATAAATCAATGTCATCAACAAATGATACAAGGGGAATGGAAACAGCAGCCTAGCAGCTACAGCGACATCCAACGACATTTCAACGAGAAGAACAGCGGTCTTGAAATGGTTCCTCCTGTAGCAGCAACGACCGCACCGCAACAAAGCAGCAGCCCCCCAACAGCAACATCGTCATCAACAATAGCAGTACCAACATCAGCGACAACCAACAACGTTTCAGGGTGAACAGCAAAAAACGGCCAAATCATTTCTCTTTTGTGACCTCATGCTGGTGCGGAAAGCAACTACCCAGACGAGATGACTGGCGCCCAGAATGGACATAAGCGAAAACACAGTACAGACACAAGACACGTATGTAGGCCCCCCGCCCTCCTACCTCCTTGTGGCAACGGACAGAGGAACCGAAACAGCTTGTCGCAAAGCAGTCTTGGACGAAAGCTTGAATTCGTGTGTTTCGCCATGGATACTCCAGCAGGCCGCTGATCTACCGTATCTGTGCGAGCAGCTTTACCACGTTGGCGGCCATCCTTTTGCCTACGACTGGAATTTGTTTCACCATGGATATTTCCAGCATGGCTGCAAATCTTACCGTATTTGTTCGAGCAGCTTCACGACGTGAGCGGAATCCAGCGCCGATGAGCCCGCCGCCCTGACCGATCTCCGTACCCAGTGTTGATTGCCGTCCGCTTCCGCCTCAACCATCCCGCTGGCATTGTTGTCGCCGTCGTCGTTTGCAATGGTGGCAACATTTGTAAAGAGGCGTGAGCGAGAGGAGAGCAGGGTCACGCGTGTGCAGCACAAACAAATCAACGCGGCCCTAACCTAGGAGGAAATTTCGTCAGTTTTACGTTTGTACCGCTTCAAGAAGCTCGCCCGCACAAACTTCCCGTCCACACAGCAGCGCCAACAACCAAGAGGAGAGTCACCAACAGCAAACGAGCGCCGCGAGCAACACACCGCGCCCATCCCCAACGCCATGTCCGTGTAACCTTGCATCACCGCTTGATGACTGACACTGCTACGCTTTGATGAGCTGCGAACCCACTACAAGCGTGGGGCGGATGCCGTTAACGAGCTCGTGCCGACGACACCAAACACCATCTCTGTTCCATACCTCCACCAACACACGCAACGCTCTTGCGCTTATCTCCCTCCCCTCGAAAAAGAATCATCAAATCCCACGCCGACACCCACCCACTCCTAGACACAAGTCCTCCCGTATAGAAACTACCCGCAACGCTCTTGCTCTTATTTCCCTCCCCCTAATCATCAAAACTCACGCCCACGCAGTTTTGCCCTTATCCCCCTCCCCCTTAACCCACACCGACGCACTCTTTGCTCTCATCCTCCTCCCCCTGAAACCACACCGACATACCAACTTCTCCCATTCTCGCCTCTTCTTGTAGGACATGATCGCCTCCGCCTCCGCCTTGGCGGCAGCCTCCAGCCCCGCCCACACCGAGGTCGTCGTCGTCACCCCTTCGTCATCGCTCTCGCTCACCAGCACGTGCGTCTCCCTCTTCCGCCTGGGTCTCCTCTTGGCTTTCGGCCTCGGATGCGCGGCAGCGGCAGCAGCAGCGCTACCGCCATCGTAGTAGCCGTCGTACCCCCACATCACCGGCCCGGTACCGTTGGCGGCGGCTTCGTAGGCCTCCCTGTCTGCTATCGCCGCCGCTCGCTCCTGCTCCGCCCTCGCCGCCGCCGCCTCTGCCACCGCCCCCGCGGCGTCCAACGAGGCGCGGTCCATACCGCACGCCGCCCCCGCCGCCTGAAGTGCGGCCAGTCCCTCCGCCGGCAGCCACCTCAAGGCGTACCTACCTTGATCCCAATCTGCGGGGACCCCAGCGGGTGGCTCCAACCCTGCGGCGGCGCCGGCTCCTGCTACGGACACCGTCTGAGAAGCTCTGGCGAAGGCTATCGCGGAAGAAGAAGAAGAAGAAGAAGAAGAAGAAGAAGAAGAAGAAGAAGAAGAAGACCCAGGGCCTTGCCCCCCCTCCTCAACGCCGACGCACGAACCCGTGAGCGCATTGCTCGCGCTGCTGCTATCCCGGGTGGTGCGCGCCGCCGCGTCCGAGGAAGCGGCCGGCGAGGCAGAACCTTCCCGGCTCCCATCGCCGCCGCCGCCGCCGCCGCCGCCGGTCTGCCTCGCGGAGAACCCGGGCATTTTCGGCAGCCCCTGCCACCACGCCTCGGTCGCCATCATCCCGCCGGGTCTTTCCTCCTGCCGCCGCTGCTGCTGCAGGTCGGCCGGTGCTCCGTGCTGAGACGCGCCGCTACCTGCAGCGTAGGCGTGCCGCTCGCTCTTAGTGGTAACGACGAACCGCAGGTTCCGGGGCCTCCACGGCAACGGGGAGACCCGCTCGCTGGCGCCGGTGATGAGGCCCTCTGCTCGAGCGACCGGGGGCTCACGTGCAGCGACACCACTAGCACTGGCACTGGCACTGGCACTAGCGGCAGTTTTCCCTGCAAGCATCAGCGTAACAGCGGAGAGAGAAAGGGAAGCGACGGGAGAGCGGCAGGTACAAGGAGGGNGGGGGGGGGGGGGGGGGGGGGGGGGGGGGGGGGGGGGGGGGGGGCAACAAGTTCAGACTTCTTGCAGTTCAACAACAACCCAGCCTCTTGGTTTGGGAGCGCTCCGACTGATCTTGATAAACAAAACACACGCATTGTCCCCATGTCTCCCAGCCAAGAGCCCCTCATGCCTCCTCTCACCGTCCACAAGCGATGGCGCCAAGCTGGATCGGACTTGTCCCCCCGCTCCAAATAATCCATCCCCGCCGTGTCGACGAGGAGAGGAATACAGGGCCCTTTCCCTCTCGAGCTGAGGGTACTGCTGCTGCTGTTGCCGTGTCTGGTGCTTCTGGGCCTCCTCCAGCGCCCGGCCGACGGCCGCCGCGGCGAGCAGGGACATACCCGTCTGGTCGAACGGCCGCGGGGCCCCTCCCACCGCGGAGACGGCTGTTGTCTCCAGGTCTTTCGTTGTGGCACCTCCCTTCCTCGCCTCTTCTCCCCGCTGCCGCTGCTGCTGCGGCTGCAGGTGCTGCTGCGGCGGCTGCTGCTGCTGCTGCTGCTGCTGTTGGTTCTTCGCGCTGGGCGTCGACTGCGGCAAGGTGGCCGGATCGATCGTCCACAAGGCCGGCCGTCCCGTCTTCCCTCTACTGCCCCCGCCGTGCAGCCGGGGTTGCGAGGCAAGTGTCTGGAAAATACCCACCACCTCCATCGGTGTTGGGGGCCCCGTGGCATCTGTCGCCACGGGAGGGTGCACCACCGTCGCCACCGGCTCCCTCGTCGTAGGCCCTGAAGGCCTCGCCCCGCCGTCCACGTCTTGGGGGGGTGCTGGTGTCGCAGTCAGCGAGGCCCCTGCTGCGGATGCTCGTGCAGGCACAGCAGCCGCTGCTGTTGCGGGTGGGGTGGTGGAGGGCAGCGGGATGGTTGCGGCAGGGGATATCGCCACGGGCTCCAGCCCTGTGGGCGGGCGTTGGGTAGTCTCCTCTACTCGTGCTGTTGCTGTTGTGGCTGCTGCTGTTCTTGGAGCAGCTGCTGCTGCTGCCGCTGCTGCTGCCGCTGCCTGCGCCGCTGCTGCTGCTGCCGCCGCGGCCGCTGCTAGTGTCGCTGCCGATAGCCCTGCTAGTGGTGACTTGCTCGCCGCTGCTCTTCGCGCCGCCGTTCCATGGACAACACTTCTTGGTACAGGCGCGTTAACTTGTCGAGAGGTTGCTGGCGGCGTCTCCGATCTCCTCGAAGATTCAAACGATGGAACGGCCTTGACATCGTGCATTGTCTGATCGCTCATGGTGGCCTCGTTCTTCTGTTGTTGCTGCTGCTGCTGCTGATGTTGCAGCTGCTGTTGACCTCGCTGCTGCTGCTGCTGCTGCTGCTGCTGCTGTTGCAACTGTTGTTGATGTTGCTGCTGTTGCTGTTCCAGCTGTTGTTGTTGTTGTTGCTGCTGCTGCTGCTGTTGCTGTTGCAGCTGTTGTTGATGCTGCTGCTGTTGTTGTTCCAGCTGTTGTTGTTGTTGTTGCTGCTGCTGCTCCTGCTGCTGTTGCTGTTGCAGCTGTTGTTGATGCTGCTGCTGTTGTTTTTCCANTTGTTGCTGCTGCTGCTGCTGTTGCTGTTGCAGCTGTTGTTGATGCTGCTGCTGTTGTTGTTCCAGCTGTTGTTGTTGTTGTTGCTGCTGCTGCTCCTGCTGCTGTTGCTGTTGCAGCTGTTGTTGATGCTGCTGCTGTTGTTTTATCAGCTGTTGCTGTTGTTGCTGCTGCTGCTCCTGCTGCTGTTGCTGTTGCAGCTGTTGTTGATGCTGCTGCTGTTGTTTTATCAGCTGTTGCTGTTGTTGCTGCTGCTGCTCCTGCTGCTGTTGCTGTTGCAGCTGTTGTTGATGCTGCTGCTGTTGTTTTTCCAGCTGTTGTTGCTGCTGCTGCTGCTGCTGCTGCTGCTGCTGCTGCTGCTCGTCCGTGCAAGGCTCCACGGCGGTGCTCGTCGTGGTGTCGGAGGTGGTGGTGGAAGTGCTTGTGTCGGAGGTTTGGACGGCGGTAGGGGTATCATCCCTGGAGCAGGATTTTCTTCGCCTTTTCTTGGGAGGCATCTCGTGCGTAGGGAGCGTCGACGATTGTGCCGCCTGACAAGACAAGAAAAAAAAAAAAAAACGCGGCGGGGAAACGTTGTGGTTTGGGGGAGAGCTTGTGGATGAGAGGGAGCGAGGCTGGCTTCAACGATGTGCGCCTGTACGAAAACGATTCTACACTACTACTACCGCTGCCGGCAGTACTATTAATACTACCGCTGCCGGCACTACTACTACCGCCGCCGCCACTACCGCTGCTGGCACTACTTTTAATACTACCGCACACTTCGAAGGACAGCGGTTAAGGGTCAGCTGCACTTTTTGGGAGTTAGCACCGTGGATTGCGAAAGAGGCGAAGAGTGCAGCGGCTGTACAACGAAACTTCACGGCAGCCAGCCGGGGGGATAGGGGTCGGGGGGGGGTTCAGCAATCTGTGAAAGCATGAGGCGCAGAGAACGATGACACACGCGATCGTCCACATCTGCGTACGCCTTCCCTGTTTACGATTGTTTACGAGCACACGGGCATAGTACACACCCAAGCGGAACGAGCCATCTGAGCTATAATAGCGCTGCACAATCCGAAGTTTCTTCGGTTCGGCACTGAAACACGACTGCACTGATTCGGCAGCACACGCGTGAGATTGAGCCGGCACGCTCGGTGAAGTTTACGGTACGTCCCTCTCTTTGCCTCATGCTTACTAAAGCCCAAAACGACAAACGCATTACGCCCTGTAGGGTTTAATGAGGCGCTACCAGCACCGCACCATCGCAGTGAAAAGAACCGGGACATAACGTGTACACGTTGGTTCCTAAACCTCAAAACACCACTACAACGCTTGCCAAACTTGTTGTGCGGCTGTGTCGGGCTAAACAAACAAAAAAAAACTCGTAAGCAAGGCACGCCGAATGGATTATTTCAATCATCAGTACGTCTTAAGGGAGTGCAGCACCAAAGTCTTCGGCCAGGAAGGCGGTGGCTATTCGTACCGCCGCCAAATCAAGCCTCCTTCGGCGAAACCGGGGTTATTGCTTGTATATACGCATGACGTGCGGTTTTGGCAATTTTGGAGGGCCCTTGCTAAAGAGTCGCGGCCAAAGGAGGATACAGAAGCGCAGTCGGCCGAGAAATAACGGTCAAAAAGAGGCCTTCGTCAATACACTGTAGACTGAACAGCTGCGTTCTGCACTGGAGTATAGTTGATTGTCGCGTTTTGCAAACGTTCATAGGCTGTAATCTTTGAGCAGTAAGTGTGTGCTACTGCTGCTGCCGCTGCCAGCTAGGCACTTGGTCGAGTCTGATGCCTGATTCACCCGACGGCGACGTGATCGATTGTGCGAGGGCAACAAAAGCAACTGCTGTTGTTCCAGACACCCACGGGGGCGAAACTTTCAAAAAAGGAACGAAAAAAGCAAGGGGGACGACCACGGAACTAACATCAACAGCAGACAGGCATGCGCATCACCTGCTTCTTCCTCCACTCGAGCAGCCACATCGCCTCCCGCTTCGCCTTTGCCTCTACATCTCTCCAGTCCACCTTCGCTTTCTCCTGCGGGTGGTGACGGCACAGACAATCAACGCGTGTGTGCAACAAGGCGGTTCCTCGGAGCATGCATACCCAAGCACAATCTACATGTCAAGCGTTCGCATGTCAAGTGTTCGCGTTATACATGACATGATCCTTGGCCGAACCCAAAGCGCTGAGGGATCAACCTCGACTGGCCCCTTATCCGCCCAAGCTCTCCCTCGAGCTCTGCCCTCACCTTTCTGCCCCCTGGCAGAAGACCCTCATCATCGTCGCGCTTGGTGGGAGAAGGAGTGCCCGAGCCGATTGACGTCTTCTTTGAGACCAACGCCGCGGCCGCCTTCGCAGCGGCACGCCTCGGCGTCGCCATCTAAGCCCACGCCGACTCCTCCAACGCTCCTCTCGGAGACCTTCACCCAAGCTCTACCCTCCGTGCTACTCCTCTCCCTTATCTTTGGCCGTGTGATGCCTGATGTTGTCCGTTGTGTGTTTGTGTGTCGCTCGCAAAAATGTCTTGTATAGCTAACCCGTTCCGCAGGGCAGCAGTTTCCTCTAGAGGCCAAAATAAAGGAATCGGTGCCGTTAGCTTCAAGGTCCCGAGAGAGCGAGAGGGTAGCACGACGCGTGGCGTGATTGCCGCTCTCCTTTTCTCTCCTTGGGCACTAGCGCACGCGCTCTTTGCGCCCGCTGAGCGAGAAATCGGTTCAAAAGCCTCAAAAACTAAAAAATAAAAATATCAGGGTTTCGTAGAGAGCTTTTTGCAGAGGAGGCTATCGCGCGTTCCTCGAAGTCAACACGCGAATCCGCAAAACAATACGCGCGCACCAGACAGCCCACACTAGAGGAGGAAGGGATAACCACGGGACGGAAACAGAAGACGGGGATGGAGTACAGGTGGGACCACTGCGTTCCTGTGGGACACTGCTAGTTGGACTTGTCGGCGTGTTGGTAAAGGTTTGTGTGCTCGGTCGCATGCCCTCAGGAGCGGAGCGTTCTGCGCGTGTCTGGTCTATCTAGCCATGGGGATCAAGAATCTATGGCAGCTGCTGAGTCCCGTGGGACGGAGCGTGAGCATCGAGACTCTGGCGGGGAAGGTGAGCCAAGGTCCGCTGTCCTGTCTGACCTGTGGTAACGAACGTCGTATTGATACTGCTGTACCATCAATGCTATCCGTCTGGTCAATCATGCCGCAATTCCCACCCCTGTCATGATGCGAGTTCCAGAGGAGCAGAGGAGGCCAATGCGGCCTTGTCCCCTTTTCCATGGCCAGTGTGGGACCAACACACTCATTAGACTGGCTTGTGTCTTGGCCCAAGGGTCGGTGTGCGCTCTTCGCGGTAGAAATAAGTACGCCGATATTTGAAACTTTGAACACACATATCGTTCCCGTTCCCCTCTCGTTGCGCTCGTGGTGTTGCGTGGATGCGTAGTCTACAGAAGCACAACGGGTCGCCTGGTGTTCCTTTATCCATTACGGCAGTAAATAATAGTGTGATGCGACCTGTGAGCCCGTGCTATCTATCTTCATAATGTTTTGTGGCGCCAATCCCACGTCTCGCACATGGCACGGCAGAGTGTTACCGGTGACGAAATCACGAGCTTTTCACCACTGCTCCTTGCGCACCGGCCACCGCAAGAGGGCGAGAGATGGCATCCCCCCTATGTGGGCCGACGTTCGAAGCTTGATTGCTGCACAACAGAGGGTGTTTCGAAAGCGCCCGACACGTTCCACGGGAAGATCTTGCTTGAGATGCTTCCAAAACCACCATTCTTGGTGTTCACATGCTTGGTTGTGGAACAATCGAGCTTTGAGGATCGGTCTATATACGGGGGGTGCCATCTCTCCGCCGCTTACCGTGCAAACTGGGTACCTACAGCACCGAGTGTGCGATGTACCGAAGAGTTCTTGTTCCGCTTGCCGTCGACCGGAGGCGAGGTTCCACCAATACATAGAAACCAAAACCTCGCGGGACCTTCACCCTCCACCCTCCACTGCAGCAGCTGCTGCAGTAGCCGGGGCCCATGGATACGAATACTGCACAAATCCTGGCCAAGTTCTCGCCCTTGCCAGCACCGACCCTTTTCCAACGCACACGAACCATAAGATTAGCACCCCCTCCTTCGCACAATCGTGATGGGTTCTGTGGGAACAATGCTCAGTCCTCTCCAGGACGCGTAGTCAATGGTCTAATCGCTGAGGCACGCAAAACATGATAGTAAGCTTCCCCCCGGCCCGCCTTCGCACAGACGCTCGCGGTGGACGTGTCCATCTGGCTGACCCAGTTCATCAAGGCCATGCGCGACGATGACGGCAAGGTCGTCAAGAACGCCCACATCATTGGAACTCTGCGCCGTGTGGTGAGTTCCAGCCACCTGCTCGCTGGTTGGTTTAGCTCTGTCTGTCTGTCTGTCTGTCTCTGTCTCTCTCTATCTCCCTCTCTCTCTCCCTTTGTGCCAAAATGATCGTCGACAGCTGAAACCACCCAGAACACATGTGCGCGGTTCCATCTGCATCCATGGACCATCAGCTCAACAACACCGGCTGACCTAAGTTGAAGGAGCATTCGTTGAACAGGCAAACATTAATGAGTTTTCACATGCCGCCTCATTTTGTGTCCGGCTGTTGAAACGTCCACCGTTTCGTGTGATGTCGGTTCAGGTGAAACTGTTATTCCATCGCATCCGCCCAGTCTTCGTGTTCGACGGCGGCGCCCCGGCCCTGAAGGCGAGGACCCTGGCCGCCCGCCGGAAGCTGCGCTTGGAGGGCACGGACTGCTCCGTCCGCAAGACCGCGCAACGGATCCTCGCATCTCAGCTCAAGAAGCACAAGGTGTCTGGCTAGGCTCTGGGAGCAGCGCACATCTAGCGGGTTGGTTCCACGTGCTCTTGATCTTGATTGCCGAAGATCAGAGCATGACGACGTGTTGCGCTGGTTGACTGTTCGCTTTGGGGTTCACAGCGTAGCCACCGTCTTTACCACACAGTGTTGAGGGTTTAGAAGTCGGACCTCGGTTGCAAATGGCGTGAATCTTGTGTGGAGTGTCTGATTGCGCGACTCCCCCTCGAAGCTCTGTTGTTACTCAGCCGCCACCCTTGCCACACCCCTTTGTCGATTCGCAACGCCCAGGCTGCGATCAGCGCCGCCAAGCGAGCTTCTTCCCAAGCAGCGGTACCCGCTTTCAACCCGGTGTACCAGGGGGGCGACATCAGCTCCACCGCTACCGCCACCGCCACCGCCGCCGGCACCACAGGGACGGGGTCCGGCGGAACCACCACCGCTCGAACAACAAGGGGTGGAAAGAAGGAAGGGGAAGATGGCGGTGCAGTCCCACCCTTGCTTTCCCCAGAAGAAGCGTCGGGTGCCGCGGGCGACAGCGATGACGACGACGATGATGACGGCGTGGACTGGGCGGATCAAGAAGTGGAGCAAGGAGGCGGAGGAGAAGACGGGTTGGGTGTACTGGGTGCGGGTCGGCAGGCCGTCGTGGATAGCGACGGGGACGAGGGTGCGTCTTAAGTGTGTTCATTGCTGGCAGTAAGCGGCGATAGGGATGGTTTGCCATTTTTTGTGCTGTGACGCCGTTTGTTTTTCGTTCGTGCTGGTTTGCTGGTCAGAGTTTGTACTGCTGTGACGCTGCTCCTTTTCGAAACGAACTAGATATCGAAAAACGTCGTCAGGCTCTCCGCCCCTCCCCAGTATCTATTCTCCTCGGACCCGTTTTTTCACCGCGGAACCACGGCCGACCCCGCTGCCGCCCGACTCCCCATGCTTGATCCACCAGTCTACGAGGGGGCCGACAGACCGGGAGGGGGGAGGGGTGGGGGCGCCGCAGGAGTTGCTGGTGGCGGGACATCAGGGGCGGCGGGTGATGTGGAGGCGGCTGCGTGGGCGGTTGACACGGATGAGGAGGAAGAGGAGGGGAGGGGCGTGGCTTGGGAGGAGGTGGAGCTCCCGGAGAGGAACGAGGACATCGACCCTGAGGTGGGTTGCCCTCTCTTGCCTTTGCACAACACGCAGGAGAAAACAGCAGTGGCAGATTTGTATCGTGAGGCATGGATGTGGAACGTTAAAACTTGTAGCGTCAGTGGTAGCCGGTTGCCATTGCCTTTGTACGCGCAGAAAGAAAGCAGCGCCAGATTTGTGTAGTGGTAGCAGGGTTGCTAAGCAGGTGTAACCTTGTACCTTGAAGGGTTTTTCAGCATCAGTGGCAGTCGGTTGTTCATGATACTGCGGTATTGTCGGAGTACATACATTGCTCAAGCAGATATACGGACCCTTGGGGGGCTCGTTTTGTCTTTCATCTTGCGGCAGGTCATTGCTTCCTTACCAGACCACGTGAAGAAGCAAGTCATCGAGGCCGCCAAGCGGAGACAACGCATGCGAAGCCGTGCCCAGTACATGCCCGTTGCGGGGAACCCGGCCATGTACAGCCAGACTCAGCTCTCCAACTTTCTTCGCTCCAATCAGCTGAACGCGCAGGTGCGACGGGCGGCAGTGACGCCCGCACTACGTGCGTGCGCGGCGTGCTTTCTAGATTGCGGTCCGGGTTGGCGGACGGTTGGTTGCGTTGTGGTAGGTGATGGCGGTAAGCACCCACTACCCAACACGTCGCACTCTTGATATATGAGAGGGCGTCACCGTTGCGATTAGGTTCCCACGTATGGTTCTTCGGACGTTTCAGACCCCCTCGAGGGAGCCAAGGAAGACGAAGGCGGCTCCGCGGATTACTTGCTACGGCTGCGAAGAGACCATAACATCCCGGCGATGAGGGCCTTTCTATGTAGCGCCGGCATCAGCACGTGCGCCAATTGTCGTAGAGTCGTGCGTTCGGAAACGAAAGACTTTCGGGTCAATACATGGTCCGTACTCGCGCATTCCAACCGTCTTGTACGAACCCCCTTGCAACTTTAACGCGCAAGCGCGTTCTTGTACTTGCTACCAAAACACGTTGCAACTCCAGATTCTGAAAGCCCAGAAGCAGGATGACAGCGATCGGACGGGCAAGCGCATAGCCTCAGAGGCGGGACGCCGGTACATCATGACTCCGGCAGGGGCAAGCGGACGTATCGGGGCAGTTTCGGGTGCCGGCGGGGCAGCTGGGGGTACTCGCAACGGGGCATCGTCCGTAGGTTAGAGATTTGTTGTGCGGGCTTAAGGGGAGCTCGGTTATCACTGTTTGGCCTACAGTTTGCGCCCGCGATAGAGAAACATACCATTGATAAGACACTTAAGGCTCAGGTTTTGGCGATAAATAAGAAAAAGTGACCAAGACAAAGACACACACCTCAGCCGTAGACCCTACACTAGTCTCTACTTCTATGTAGTGACCTATGCTCGACAGTGGCGATCACGAAATGTGAAATTGAACCTCGACCATAAATTGACGTCTCTTAGACAAGGGCGCCACCTGTACTGTTTGGTTTTTCCTCGTTGTCGAAGCCACTTTTTCACCTCGGAACATGATGGGCCGTAGCTTCAGCAGGTGGCCTTGTTCATCACCTGTGCTCTTGGTAAACCGATCAGCATGCTGTGATTTCGTCCATCTAGCGCCGGACGTTGTCCCGTGTGTGCTTCCGGTGTGATTGCGTTGTTTTGACACATCCGTTTCACCAGGTTGCAACTACGCTTGGAACTGCTGTGGTTGAAATATTCCGTCCCTCTATAGCGCCTGGCGTGTCCCGCGTCCTATCTTGAAGTGTGACTGCGTTGTTTTTTGACGCATCCGCTTGCTCCGGTCGGCCCTGTCCAATCAGGCTCCAGCCGGCGACGGCGAATCACGGACGGCGGCGAAGACTTCAAGGCGTGGTCGTACGCGGGGTCGGCGGGAGCAGAAGAAAACGGCGGCGTCGTGAAGACAAGGCCGACGGCGGCGCCGACCAATGCAGACACGGACGATGATGACGACGAAGAAGAAGAAGCGGGGGGGTTTCTTCCCGAGAGTGAGGATGCACCCGTCGCAAGGACAAGAGATGGAGGCACGGGGGCTCCGCCTGATGAGGAACCATCGGGGGAGTTCCCCTCTGGGGGTTACGTGAGTGAGGAGGGAGGGAGGCTCCTACCGCCTTCAGAGGAAGAGGACTCCTCGGGACCAGAGGTGCCGGCCGTCGATGGAGGGACGGGCAGGACGAGGGGCCGAGTCCAGCTCCCCGTGCACAGGCCCAAGCCCATCGGGCATGACCTTGCTAGCGGCGGGAAGGGCAAGCGGCGGCGCTTGCAGCGGCTGGCCGACGCCGATAAAGGGAAGGAGGAGGAGGAGGAAAAGGAGGAGGAAGAGGAGGAGCAGGAGGAAGATGTTGAGCGGCCAGCAGCAAGAAGAGCGCGGCCGAGGCCAGACTCCGGTGCTGCCGACGCCATCGCTAGGGTGCTCCAGGAAGAGGAGGACCGGCGCGCCGCCATGACCCTCCAGGATGAGATCGATCCCTCCTTATCTACCGCCGGTGTCTTTGCCGACAACGACGACGGCAGCGGCGGCAGCTCTACTGGAAAGGGAAACTTGTTGCCCGAAACCGGTGTCAACGATCTCGATCCGCTGGGCTTGCTGAGGACTCGGAAGGCAAGGTCGGAGTCGCCCACAGCGACTGCAAGATCAAGCATCTCCGACGGCTCGGAGGCGGCGGCGGCCGAAAACAAGGCAGCGCAGACGCCGCGGCCGTCCAAATCGCTTGGTGCAAGGAGCAGTGTAGGCGATCCATATGAGGGAGGAGGCAGCTCGTCGGGAGGCGATGCGGAGATCGAAGTGGAGATTGACCTCAAAAACCTTGTGGCCGGCGGCGGGCGGCGGGACCTAATGGAGTTGTTTCCTTCTTCCGGTGCTGCTACGGGTGATGTGGGGGGCGGGAGCGGGGCGGTCGAGGAGGACAGCGATGAGGACTTCGACGGCTTCGTGGACGATGATGATAATGATGCCGACGAAGAGGAGAGGGATAGAGCTTCGTCTCAGGTAGAGTAGAGCAGCTGTGACTCATCGTGGCGTTCTAGGCAATTGTTGTTTTTTGCTTCCTTCTCTGTTCTATCAATGCTGGCATTGTTGCTCTATGCTACTGCTTTGGCTAAGACACCGGCGAGGGGATTTCGTAGCGTGTCTCTCGTCGCCGTATCCATCTTGTTGCGTGAGGTCACGTGGATCACGTCAGCACCTCATTGGTGCACCTCGACGGCCGTCCGGAGCTTCCAGTTTGTGGCACAGTTTCGTCTGCCGGTGGCTTGAGTAGCTCGAAAATCTAGCGCATCATATTCTTTGTTTTCGATTCTTCCGTCGGCATGGGGTTAGACGCACCTATGTTTAGCCCCCCCAATCTTCCGATTGCTGCCAGGTTTCCGCTCAAGGAGCAACGACGAGCTACACTAACGAGGCAGCCTTGCAGCGTTCGGTGGACATGGCCTCGAGGATGGCCGGCTGGGCGGGAAGGGTCGTCGAGAGGGTTCTCAAGGAGCACCGGAAGGCAAGAAAGCGTTCGCCGCGAGTTGCCGTTGTTTTTGGCCGTAGCCTTGTTGTGAGTTGGGCGACCTGTTTTCGTTAGTGGAGATCAGAGCTGCTGTATGCATACACACGACGAAGGTTTTCTCTACGCACAATTGGCGGGCTTTCAGTTTATATATCGTTGGCTGTGGTCCCTTGCCCACGTCCTCTTTCCTCTCGCCTTGTCACGCGCCACGCGACCTTCTTCAGCCCCCCGAATCAGCAGCAGGGCCATCATTCTCGCATCGCGCGGCCAGCGCCAGCGGCCACGGGACCGGTCCGAGGAACGGTCCGCAGAACGCGGAGAGCGCAATCATCCGCACCGGGCCCGCTGCGTCTGGGGTAGGCAGCCATGCGGTCGCCCAGTTAGCCATCGATGAGCGACGTCGTTTGGGAACAATCGGCGGCAACACCGCTGCCACGACCACCAGCATTGACATCGGACGTCAGACCTCCGGCAGCGCATCTACTGCTGAGCCAACGACCACCACCACCAGCAGCAACGATGCCGGGCGTCAGGCATCCGGCGACGCTGCGCGGCCTCCTTCTCCCGGGGCGGGCCGGGGGCGGCAGCAGCGAGGCGCGGCCGTCGACGCCCCCGCTGACCCCAAGGGTACCGCACACCCTCGCTCCAAGTCTTGCTTTCGCCCCGAGATCGGCGGCGAGTTACCGGCACCCGCCGGTGCGGCGGCGGTGACAGCACCGGCGGTGCCACGCGGGTCGGAGGGGGAGAATAGCAAGGGGGAGAGAGCCGTAGGAACGGGGAACATGGCGGAAGACGGGGACGGGGACGTCGAGAGCGTTTTTTCCGAGCCCGACGGTGAGCGGGGGTCGCCGGGCCCGCTAGGTCAACATACGCATGCTGGGGTTTCCAGAGAGGCGGCGGGGGTCAAGGGGACGGTGACAGGCGAGGGGTTTCCGCCTCACACGGAGGCCGAAGAAACAGAGGGGGCAGAGGAGACATCGGGAGAATCAGTAGCAGCGCCTGGGCCTGGCGTTACGAGCGCATCATCGCCAGCAAGTCCACCAGAGCCCTCCGAAGGCGTAACGGCCTCCAAGGAAAAAGGCGGCGAATCCGCCCCCGTCGACGTTCCGCCGCGAGCGATTCTGCAGCAAGCGGCAGCGGCGGAAACCCAGGTGCAAGGGCGGCGCGGCTGCCACGACGCGACCGAGGTAGATAAAAACGCCTGCGCAAAAGGAGATTCCGTCGCGGACGGGCCAACCTCGGCTACCCGTAAGGTTCCTCCCCCTCATGACGACGAAGTCGGTGAAGGCGGAACGGACGCGCTCTTTGCACCATCGGTGCCGGGAGACACCCGCCCGGGACCCTCTCGAGTCGGAATAGCGAGGGGTGGCGAGGGAAAAGAGGCCAACGGGGACGGGGAAGGAGTGATGGGCACGTCATACCTTGAGGGCATGGACGAGGACGAGCTGGAGGAGGAGTCTGAGAAGCTGAAGCGGGAGGGCAACAAGGCGCAGCGCGATGCGGAGACTGTTACGGAGGAGATGAAGGAGGAGGTGAGGTGCAATGGCGGCGGCGGCGGCGGCGGCGGCGGCTTTTTGCCTGCAAAATATTTCATTCATCTCCATCCGGCCTGTCAACAGATACATTCATCTGTTGTTGCTGAACCCTCCTTGCGATGGAGTTGAAGTCAAGGTAGAAGCGGAATGCTTCTGCGTGCGTATCCCGGATCGTGGCTCCTCAGCAAAGAAGGTACTGCTGCCGTGGATGCTGCGACGGACAGCAGTAATAGTGGGATGATATGCATTGATAGAGTGCGCATGACCCATGGCCTTTCCCTTAGAACTGAGCTTTCCAGGACGCTCGACTTTGGAATCCTGCAAAACAACACTTGGACAAAATATTTCGTGAAAAGATGCGGGTAGTATTTGACCCGTGAATTAATCGGTTCGTGACTGATAAGCTGCTTTTGGGCCAGATGTTTTTGTTGCTGATGCTCATTTTTGGCGTCGGGTTCACCGCCGTGTGTAAAACGCTGTCGACGTAAATGTTTGTGCGTGTGTGCTCGCCTCCCCTAGGTGATGGAACTCTTGAAGCTGTTCGGTGTGCCGTACGTAGTGGCACCAATGGAGGCCGAGGTACGCCCTTCCCGTCACCGTTGCCGTTGCTGTTCCCGTTCCCGTTACCATCGCAAGATGTTGGGCTCTCGTTGCCGTTCTTTACTGGTGCCGGCATGTATGTACATCGTAGTCTCCTTCTGTTTTTGGAGATAAATCTGTTTTCATGTCGTCCGACGTTAACGTGCAGTGTGCGAGTGTTGTTGATGTTAGGATAGTTACCTCTCTACGCTTGTATTTGCATTTATCCTTTCTTTTCTGGTCGTGAAGGTCAACCCCTTCGAGCACTCTCGGGCGTGTATCATCAACTGGGGTTGACGTGAATGATGTTCGATTGTTTTTGGGACGTTGTTGGGTTAGGCGTTATGGAGGAAGCGCCGACGGACATGCTATAGCTATATTTGTCCCTAGTCGCCCGTTCTTGCATCAACCATGGATATTTTCGTTTTCCTCCGTCTTCGGTTATACGCGGGCTCTACCTCTACCCCTCCTGTCTCCGCTCTGCCGACCGCATCGTCATCATCGTGTAATTTTCGTTTCTCTATCTCCTCTGTGTATCCCCACCCCTGCAACGGCGTTCTGCTTCTTGTAGCCACTCTAGATTCGCACCGCCTGATCATTATTATGTGTGTGTGTGTTTTTTTTTTTTTCGTGTTCGCTGTACACCTTCCCAATGGCGTGTTGCCTGTCATCTTTCTTGTCATGCGTTCTCCGCGTACCAACTCAAAATCCGCAGGCGCAGTGCTGCATGCTGGAGCAGCTGCGGCTGGTAGACGGGACGGTGACGGACGACAGCGACGCCTTTGCCTTCGGTGGAAGGGCCGTCTACAAGAACATCTTCAGCGAGAGGAAGTTCGTCGAGGCCTACCTCCTGCCCGACGCGGAAAAGGTCTGTCTACAGCACATAAAGTGAGGCGTTTTTGGCTTGTCGTGAGTCGTAGAGCACATGAAGAGGACGCGGTTTTGGCGTGGCGTTAGTCGTACACCACATGAAAGGAAAGGAGGCGTTTTTGGCTTGTCGCTAGTCGTACATCACATGAAAAGGAGGCGGTTTTGACTTGGTTGCTTCGGTACATGACCAGCTCTGTGTAACCGTCGTTGCGGGCTGTAGAGGGTAGTGTTTTCCGGGTCATACGATGGTCTAGTTAGCTGGTTCGTCGTTGAAGCTGTAGAGGCTGTTCGGGTCATACGATGGCCTAGATACCTGCTTTGTTGTGAGGGGTAATATATAACAGATGATGCATGGGTTTTCCTGGAACAGGGTTGAGACTGTAGACAGATAACTATCTTTTCTTTTTGGCTGGTTGAGTTCGCTGGACTCGTCACTGTAAGCTGGCAACCACCTGTGGGTTGTGGTCCTACGTCCTCCTTTTGTTTTCATGTTTCATCACACCACTTGATTACATTGTGCCCTTATGAGCCCACTCCGGAGGGAAGACTGTTGTGTTCTTGTCCCTTACCCAGATCATTCAACTTAAGGAACGTATTATATTTGGTTGGGTGATACCTCCTGCACCGGCCTGTGGTCCCTCATCTACCATCTACTTGGTGTAGCTTTGACCACACAAGCCTCTAAGCTAGGTCTCGCCCACCCAAACTTTCTTGTTTTCCGCGGCGGGTACACGCAGAAAAGTCACATGTGAAGTCGGCCGACAACGGCAACGCGTTTGAGTCAGCGTAGTAGTGCTCGCTACGGCTCCTCTTGGAACCCACAGTCCCTACACTAGTAGTGGACCCACAGTTCCCTACACCAGTAGTGGACCCACAGTCCCTACACTAGTAGTGGCACCAACATGACGTTTTGCGCCGCTCTCGGTAGGCCACCCGGCAATTTTCATGATAGCGCCCACCCAGCGACTGTGTAGCAGAACCCTCGACCCGAAAGGATAGCATAGTGTAGCGGTGTGGCAGTCCCGCCGCTCACGAATGCCCGTGCAGGGCGGCCGTTATCTGAGCCGCCGTGAGGGCGGCGGCACGACTGGAAATATGTGCCCTTGGGACAGGCCCCTGCCAGCACCTTCCGCCGCACCGATGTTGTGCCGTAACATTTCGCACCGCGCAAATAGAGCCGGACAAGCGACGTCCGGGCCCACTAATGACGGCGTCGACGGAGTCACTGGAGGGTGTTACCAAACTGGAAGTTGAAGATGAGACTCCCCCTTGCTGGCAACCCGCCGAACCTGCGCTCCCATCGTGAAGGAGAGATCGTGGCCCCGTCGCATTGAGGCGGACGCCAAGAACGACTGCCTCTCGGCCCCGGCGGCTGCGAGCTCACCGGTGGGCCCGCTTTCACCACCTCCACCCGAGCCGCCTCCCCAGCCTGACCACCAGACGGCCACGTTCGCGGATTCGACCACCGCGACTTATACTGTGCGTGCTACACCGCGCTGGTGCGTGCGCGGGGCCTACGTTGGACCTTGGGCGAGCCTTCGACCGCAACCGCGCGGGTTACGATCAGAGGTGGTGATTTTTCGATTGGGGGAAGTGGCCACCCGACTGCCGCCTCTTCCGGAGGCAGAAGTGTACACGAAGATTCCAGCCCGGGCTACGAAGGTGGCCGCCTCGCGTGCAGCGACAAGTCGGTAGCATGTCGTCGGGCGGAGGCGAGTATATAGCCGCGCTAGAATCTTCGTGTGATCTCCGCCTCCTGAAGAGACGGCAGCCGAGTGGCCACCTCTCCCAAGCTGAGAACCACCTCCTCGACGGTGCCCTGATCACAACCCACGCGGTTGCGGTTGAAGGCCCGAGGTCAAGCGTAGCCCCCGCGCACGGCACCAGCGCGGGGGAGCAGGGTACAGCATAGGCCGCGGTGGTCGCATCCGCGAACGTGGCCGTCTGGTGGTCAGGCTGGGGAGGCGGCCCGGGTGGAGGTGGTGAAAGCGGGCCCACCGGTGAGCTCGCAGCCGCCGGGGTCGAGAGGCCGCCGCCGCCGCCGCCGCCGCCGCCGCCGCCGCCGGGGCAGCAGTCGCTCAGGAAGCAGTCGCCGGTTCCGCCGCGGCGGAACGCCGCGTGTTGCGAAGCGGCATGTTACTCTCAAACATTTTTGTTGCTCGTCGATGTAGCTCCGGCGTATTTCGAGAGAGAGAGAAAGGGGACTGACAAGGTACCGTAGGGTCATTTTTCAACATGCTTTTTGGGATATCTGACTTTCCCCACATTTCGTGCCGAAATCTGGATTCGTTCCAAATCCGAGATGACTTGTGTATTTGTTGTGAAAAATGGTGCATCGTGGGGCGTTCGTTACGTCCACAGGATCTAGGAGTGGGCACGGATGAAGTGATCGCTCTCGCGCTGCTTCTGGGCAGCGACTACACGGAGGGAGTGAGGGGTGTGGGCATCGTCAACGCAATGGAGGTGAGAGACGGCGGCGGATGTGTTGGGGCGGGGGGGGGAGTCGTACCTGTACGCCTGTCAAGTTCTGGAACCCACGGTTTCGGCAACTTTTGTTTTTCGCGCGGAATACACATAATCAAACCACATGGTCAAACTCTTTCTGTGTCCTCGTTGCCGTGTGACCCCCCGGCTGGTGCGTCCTAGCAACAACCCAACGGTGTAGACGGTTCGCCGCGTTCGCCGCTCCAAGTTTTATGTGATCTGCATTCATGTTGCCGTCGAATGCGAACACTGAGTCCTCCCTCGAGAATATACTGCGCGGTGCGGTTGCAAGACACCGCATCCATACCCCCGCCTCGACTTGTCTAATGCGATGAAACTCGTCCTGTGCGGTCAACGGAAAATAATCAACCAGGATTCCCCTTGATTTGAGAACTTCACCGAGGAAGTAATTAGTTTTCGCCACGATGCGACGTGATACGTAGGTGATCAACGCTTTTCCTTTGGAAGGGAAGGGTGCTCACCACGGCCTGAGCAAGTTTAAGAAGTGGATCGATGGCTTCGATCCCCTCCTCGACCAGGTGCGAAGAAAATAACACAGGGACAAAATATCGTGTGTTGGTGTTGCCTAATGTCATGTCATGTCATGTCATGTCATGTCGCGTTGTCGTTGCTGTTGTTACTGCGGTTGTTGCTTCGCATGTATAGCCGTTGCGATCTCTGCTTAGTACCTCTTAACATCCGTCGGTCCAACTGACGCGGACGCCCTCGGTAGTCGCGGGCCGGCTGTACCCCAACAGGGTAAACAGTATTCGAGAAGTTCTCCGTGGTATGTATTTTCGACGGCTTGCACAGCTCTAAGAGCGGACGGACCACCCCTGGCTTCGGCTACGCCAACGAATCACGTCGTTTGCTTTGAAGCCGAAGGTGCTTCCGTGCCGTCTGCTGTGCTCTCTAGAAGAGGTGTTGGTTTTCTAAAGATTTCGGATAGTGTTTTGCTCAGTCGCCCAGAATCAGATTTTTACCATGAATGGTTACCATGACATAGACGGAGCTCGATTTGTACGGAATGTGTCGCTTACTTTTCTTTCTGAAGTCCAACCCCTCAGCGTTTCATGTTCAGCTCCTTCTATCACCACCTCCGTCGCTAAGTGTGTGGCTATTTTTTGTGTCTTGTTATGTTTGTTCTCGTCCTGATTTTTCCTTTTTTTTTTCACTCAGGAGCTGGAAGGCTTGACAAAACGCGGTTCGCAGAAGGAGATCGACGGGCTGTCGCTGGAGATGAAGTTTCACCTCAAGCACAGGACCGCGCGAAACAGGTGCGAGGTGTTTGTTGAGTGCTGTTGCTGTTGCTGTTGCTGTTACTGGTGTTGTTCTGTGTGTCGCACGGAGGACTGGCTCCCTGACGAGATGCATTTGCAGGTGGCAATTATTTCCCGAATGAGTACCTTGAATCATGGTGGCTTGCTCTACGGCAGGACCAGGCTGTTTAGCCCCAGCTGTTTTTGAAGGGATGCAGGGAATGAAAATCAGGCGTCTTTGATGTGTAGTACGACGTGGAGCATATATCGAATCGGCTCGTTGTATCCGCATTAATATGGTAGTACGGAAGAGGGAAATGGACTGCCACCCACCTACTTCTCGGTTGACGATTGATACCAAGCACTCCGGGAAGACGGGTAGAGCAGAAGAAAACTCCTGCCTTTACCTGCCTCTGTAACCCCGGCTGACACGTCAAACACATACCGGAAGGTCTAGACCGGAACCTCCACGTAGATGGGACAATATCAGCACGAACAAGACGACCTGTTTGCTCGGCTTGAGTCTAAGCGTCTGGGAGGTCTCGCAAGTACGGAGTGCGTCCGGTGGGCGCTGCTGCACGAGACAATCGTCACTCTCGACGGCTGGACGTGCACGAGACCAAGCTTGTCGAACCAGGACACGATTTCCTCCCACGTAATACCTCGTCTGATGGAGGTTCCACGAACACGTCTTCTTATCTCTTATTGTAGTCGTTCCAAACGGTTGCCTTGCTGACGAGACACTCGTTGTCCGCGTTTGTGGTTGCTTTCGGGTGGTGCTGATGTTGCTAAGGTGGACCGTCCCTGAGGGGTTCCCGAGCGAGGAGGTCATCAACGCCTACAACAATCCTCAGGTCAGAAAAGACGTATATATACGGACGGCGCCATGTTGCGCACGGTCTATTTTTTTTCAACCTTTGCCCTACCCCCGACTCTACTGAGCACACACACCCCCAAGGAAGCTTAGGGAGTTGACGGAGTCCGCAGCACTTGACTCGTATGGATGTGCCATTGTCAGTCTAGCCCACGCGCTTCGCGCTTGGTGATGTGCGAGCCTGATCTGATGAAACCCGGCGTGCTCCGTCCCGGCTTTGTAGGGATGCGAGGTCAATGGTGCAACACTACAGCATTCACGGCTATCAACACACCTCAATATATCTACAAGTAGGACTCATGGCCGTAGGCGGCGGTAAGCACCCAGGCCCTTATGTTGTTGGTGATTTTCAATACCCTTGGCCGCGGTGCTCGGGGTCTGCTTGAATATACCCTGCTGTCCAACTTGAGGTTTTGGAGAATATCGACGGCTTGTTTTGAACGAGGTTCACAGTTCACACTTTTTTTCGCCATACCGTTGTCGTTGGCTGGACAGGATACAGGCCAACCAATAACGTATGTTGCATCCCTCCTCCCGCCACAACGCTGCCACGCCGTTATGTTTCAGGTGGACAGATCGGAAGAGCCTTTCAGCTGGGCAGCACCGGACGTGGACGGGTTGAGGGCTCTGTGCCAGAGGGTGCTGGGGTGGGACAGGGACCAGTCTGATGGGCTACTCATGCCCATGGTTAAGGTAAGAAACTTGTGCGGTCATGCGACAGTCCACCTTGCGTTCCAAAGCGTAAGAGGTTTTAGAAGCCGGTGGTTTCGGCTCATAACACAACGGACGTCGAGCAAACGGAGACATGATAGATGTGTATCAGCCTCCAACGTATGGCAAACGGTACTTTCATTCGCGATCTAGTTGCATGATAGGGTATGATACAACTCGTTCTTCTGTTGACCCTATGTCCTTCTCCAACGCAGGAGTTGGAGCGGGGGAGCTTCGCGCAGCCGCGCATCGACCGCTACTTCATGGCCTACCACGACAACAAGAGGGTGGCCGCCATCAAGAGCAAGCGCCTTCGCACGGCGGTCGAGGACCTAGCGCAGGGGTCTACGGAGGTGCTTGTTTAATTTTGTTTGTGTTGTACTAGTACGAGGCAAAAGACAAAGGATAAAACAACGAACTACATCGGTACGTCCAGAGGGACACCTCGAAATATCCATCACTCGATCTCTAACCGTATCTCAGCTACGAGAGGACTGAACGGACCAAACTTATCTGCCAGACGATGCATAAACCACCAGCTACCACGTAAACGCACATCGAGCTTAACGACAAGCATAGTGTACCGTATCTGCGTCACACCGCAGGCAAGCAGATCAAACATACGAACAACAAAATACACCACACTACGGCAACACTCAAAACCAATATTCAAAGACTAAGACACACCAAAAAAAATTCTCCTTTTCGTTTGACGGATCGATAGAAGAGAGATAAAAAAAAAAGAAGAGCAGAATAAAAGAAGCGACGATGTGGGGCATCGAACCCGCCATATACAGTGCCACAAGTTTGCAGTCAGCTCCCTCAGTTGCATGTACGGTAAATCATGTGTTGCTCCCGTGTAGCTCCGGCGCCGGGACTTCTACATCTCCCCGGTTATTGTTTGGGTGGTAACCAAAAGCCATGGGATTTCGATTTTTTGCACGGTAATTAGTTGGATAGGAACAAAGGGGTTTCGCGTCCTTGGTAACGATTTGGATGGGAACGGGAGAAGGCCATTTGCTCGGTAACGACTTGGATGGGTACGGTAACCGGGAATTATCACGGTAACGTCATCAATTACCGTTCCCGTGGACATCCCGCGGGTAACTACCGCGGGAAAATTCTCGAGAGGAGCCTTGAAAAATTCCACGACCGCGCAATTCCACCCGGCCGAGACTCGAAGAAGAAGCGCACACATCATCAGCAACAGCGAAAATCTACCGTCCATCACAAGGAGGACAACATGTTGATGATTGCATACGATTATTCACCAAATAAATTTATGAAATAAAATAAGCACTTGCGGTAGAGCCCTGCGCTATGTTGATGATACGCATACGATTATTCCTTAATTAAATGAAACCAAATAATCGCCTCGGTAGAGCCCTGCGCTTTGTTGATGATGTGCATACGGTTATTCATAAATAAATAATACTATGCTAGTATTTCGGTAGCTTGGCCGTGAGTTTTTCGCCTGTAGTCTCAAAACAGTTGAAAAACGAAATGCGACAGGTTCCATTGGTGTGTTTGGTGTTGTTTGTGAAACGCGCTGTTTGGGTGTCACGCGCACTGAAAAAAAAAGCGCAACACAGTTGCAGTGCATCGCTTTGTGGAGTGTTCCATCCTACGTTACCGTGCATTACCGTGGTGGATTACCGTGGTGGCCCGTTACCGCGGCATAACCGTGGTGCCGAGTTACCGCCCAAATATTACGGTGCATTCCTTGGTGGCTAGTTCCCGTACGGGAGTTACCGTGCGGGGCGGTTACCACCCAATTATTACCGTGCATTTCCGTGGTGGCCAGTTGCCACCCAAACGTGACCATGATGGCCAGTTACCACCCAAATATTACCGTGTATTACCATATTCGCTGATTCCCGTACCAATCGTTACCGAATTGAGAAATCGTTCCCGAGAGGAGCCTTGGAAGCTTGCGCGCGATTTCGCGAGACCCCCTCAAGGCCGGAGGATAAAATAACGACGGGGAGGATGTCTCCGAGAGTGGACGTTGCCAAGTTGAACTGCTGGGTGCTGCGAAGAAGCTGCATGTCTGCTGCACGTGGGAAGTCCTCTTTGATAGGACAGGCCAGTGTCTCGACCACATCTGTAATCTACTCGTGGCTGCAAGTGTATTGTTTTGTTGAATGCATTCGGCGAGCGTGCTGTGCCTGAAAATAGAGTGGATGCCTCTACAAATATGACTCATGGCACAGTTGACGTTCCCGGCATGTGACCATACTTGCACCCAACGATCGTTATGTGCTGTGCGTAGCAGCTTCCCGGCCGTTTAGCCCTGTCTGCTTCAACGTGCGCGCGCTTTCGTTCCCTTCGCTCCGCCGTTTCACGCAGGTGATCACGGTAGACGGCTCGCCGGTGGGCGAGAGAACGGCAACGGGCGCGAAGCGGAAAAGGAAGGAGGGCGACAAGTCGCACAAGGGGCAAGACAACAATGACGATGCCCCAAGCGGGAAGACGAAAAGATGGCAGCGGGGAGCCGCCAGCGGATCTCCCAAGTCTACGGTCAGGGCCGGCGACGGCGACGATGACGACGACACGCAGATTGACCAGCCGACGGTTTCGTCTCAACCGTCACCATCGCCCAGGACAGGCGCAAGAGGCGCAGCAACCCGTGCGAAGCGATTGCGGCCTCCTTCGACACCGGCGAAGAATGCCGACGCTAGCGGCGGCGGCAACGGCGGTCGCCGTTCCGCGAGGAGCAACAAAAACGCCTCCGCTGGTTCTGCCGCAACGCCGGCGAACGGGGGGCAGGGGCAGAGCAAGAGAACACCCGTGCCACGCTGAGTGGGGGCGGGGTAGACACTCCCGGCCCCTCCTCGGGCAAACGCCGTGGCCCCCGTACGACGGTGGCGTCAAGCGGCGGTGCGGGTGCAGGTGGGGGCAGCGAATCCGGGAGTGATGTCGAGGGAGAGGATGGGATTGACGAAGATGATGACGCGGACTATGTCGGCTCTGCCGGCGACGACGACGCCAGCAGTGATGGCGGTGACGACAACGACGACGACGACGGTGGTGGTGTTGGTCCGGGAAGGATCTCTGGAGGGCGACGCCAAACCAAGCCCAGGAGAAAAAGAGAAAGCGTTGTGACACCGTCTACCCGAGTGTTGTTGATACTGTAATAATTAGTAATTAAAATTGTCCGCGTGCCTATCTGGGGGCTGATGTTCTCCAGCTGTAAAATGGTGTCTCAGTCGTGGCTATCCAGAGCCGACTAGACCGTTTCAACAGAAACGAATGAAACCATTTTTTTCGGGAAGCAGCCGTGGCAGACGGCAATCTTATACATGTTGAGTCTTGAGAGTTGTTCAGAGCTACCCCAGCTACAGGACCTATTTACAAAGAACGTACCAAAGCAATTCCCACGCTACACGAACGAATTAAGACCAAGACAGGAACAGGTTTCTCGGCTTGTTTTATCGCGGCCAGGGACACTCTTCAGCAACTCAGGCATGAAGAGCCCTTGAGAAGCACCAGCAGCGTGTGTACGCCGCACGAGCGGGCTTGCACCACGGCAAACGACACGGCAGCGTGCAGTTCTGTCGACGTGGTCGAACCTTTCCTTCCTGTAAGTTACCGAGCCAGCGATGGCACCAAAATTTGACATCCGACTAGCGACACTCTCTCCGGTGAATAGCTTAGCTGCCAGATGTTGGCCAACCTTACGGTTAGGCCAGGAGAACATCGTCCTCAGAGCGTTGACCCCGGGTACGACGACGCCGACTACGGGTCCGCTTCTTTTTTTCGAATTTAGTGCAGTACAACCACTGGGAACGTTAAATCCCTTTACATCACACCTGTCCCAAAATTACACCTCGCTATAATGCCTCGCCAAAACGCGGCGCTGGCACCAACGCGTTGCCTGGTGATCTTGAAGTCCTCGCCAAAATTTTCGCGGTGGGTACCACCATACTGCTGTAGGTTTTCCGATAACATACTCCTCTCGACGCTACGTCTTCGTGAGACAAAAAAAAAAAACAGAAGGAAAAACGCGCGTGCCATCTCTATGTCGGACGCGCGTGGATCTTCTATGGCACAAATGGCGTGGCATTTCAAATTTCACCGCTCACACTCGCACATTTCCACCTGCACAACATTGATCATCCTCCGTGAATTGCAGTACCTCCAAGTATGTCGACAATTTCTTGTCGAACTCCCGTCCCGCTCTCCTCCCCGCCGTTTTCCTCGCCAGTCTAGTCCTGCTGCAGCATATTTTCCGTGTGATCGCCCCCCCTCGACCCCTCCCCGATCCGGGTATCCACAACGCGTGGCAAACTTGGAAAATAACCAAAAGCTTGTCCATCGCACTCTATACACCCCCACGGATAAGGGTAAGCGAAACATCGATCGGCATCCTGTGCCGCTTACCACTCACGTCTAGCAATCTAAGTTGTATACCTCCACCAGCCAACGATAAAGTCTTTCAACCACAGGAATGTCAACAGATAGGGCGGGCTAAGCTTCTCTTTGACACAAACATGCAATATCGAGGCGACACGTCTCGGCACGACGCAAGCAAGAACGCGGCCTGGAAACACCCCCCTCCCCCCTCTGCCACCCTTGTCCAAGTGTCGAGTGCCGAAATGTTGTTCCCGGTGTCTGGTTTCCCCACAGAAGACGCACAACGAACAGAACAGAGTTCGTCAAACAAAGCGGCCAGCGGGGACCATTAGCAGCAGAGGCGGTCTCCTAACGTGGGTAACGCAAGATATCACACCCCCTGGACCGTTTCCGAAGCTCGACTCTTCCACAGTAGAAAGAGTGGCCGTGCCGAAAACGGCCGCGTTCGAACCACCTCGTCGAGCTCGTTCTGAAAACATATTAATTTGATTCTGGGCGTGGAGTAGTCGAGCTTTGAGAAACTGTCCAGGGGGTGTGTTATCTTGTGTCACCTATGGTGAGTGTACGCTCTTTCCTCCTGTGGCCCCTCGCTGACCGTTGCTGAGGCCACATGACCTACAAGCTCTTATCGGGGCTGGAGAATTCGCCCACGGGCGGCCCCTCCATGACGAATGGAGCCGAGTTGTACTTGCCACCGAAGGCCTGTATGTAGCCCAAACCTATGAAAAGCTTGTCGTTCACTTTTCGGACCTGGAAAGAGAGATGCGGAGCACGGGAAAGCAGCAGGCTACAGGTGAGAAACGCGACCTTGAGCTGATCCTCGTTGCGCAACTTTTGATAGATTTTTTCATCACATTTAATCTGCGGACACAGTATTTCTGCCGGGTAAGAGGTTCAACCCGTGGTCACACAGAAGGCTTCCGCTCCCTGAGGCCTCCTACCCACCCTGCTGTGGTGCTTGCCGTCCGATTTAACAGCGCGCTTAGAGGTTTCTTCGAGGTTATTGCGCTACTGTAGATTGGTATTGGTCCGGACGAGATGTCCACAAAGCCCCAGGAGCGACACTAGCGGCTCGCCTTCGATGCAGCAACTGGACGGGCTGTACGAATTTAGATCTGCCATATGCGTTGTTAGTAAGAAAAAAAGAATTGTGTACCGTGGTTTCAAGCTTTGCTCAGCAGAAACACGCCGCATTCCGGGGGGAACCCCACCCGAATGAATGGAGGTTCCGGTGATAAATCTTTCCGCCAATAAAACGAAGGCGAGACCAACTAACACCACTCGCTTCAGTCGGTGACATCTCTACACACTCGTGTTACGTGGGGCGCTCTTTCCTAACTGCCCCAGACGTCTCGTGCATATACACCACCGATTTCTTCGTATTGTCGGACGACCAAAAAACAATCGACCGCTTTCGAGCACCAAAATACAAAATCGACCACTTGCCGGCACCAAAAGACAACATCGACCGCTCTCCAGCACTAAATTTGCGGAATTGACCGCTTTCGAGCACCAAAAAACTAAAAGTTGTAAGCACCAAACAACAAAATCGACATTTTCGAGTACCAAAAAAAAAACTGACAACTTCAACACATCCCCTTCGACCGCTGTGGTAAGACCTCGAAAGGGCAGTCTCTCTCCGATTGTATGCGAATCTTGCAATAACGACCACTCTTTTTGAGCCGATCGCTCTGTCTGCCAAGGCTTTACCTCGTCCCGCATGCCGCCGAACAGCGGCCCGTTCTTGCCCGCTCTGGCGTAGTCGAGCTCCGAAGACACTCCCCGATCGAACACGCTGTCGGAGGACTGGGAGAACCGGAAGCAGCGCTCTCGCTGCGTGTCGCTCGGAAGTCCGATGCCCTTCGACTCGGAAGCGAAGAGGTTGTAGCCCTCCCGGCTGCCGGTGCGGATGCCCTTCCCGAGCCACCTCCCTGGCCTTATGGCGGGGGCACATTATGCAGTGGGCGCGCGTTATGGGTTGCCATGGAACCATTATCTCCAATGGTACGACTGCAGCAGGAGAACACCAAGCAGTACATAAGAAGGGAAGGCTTCCGTGTTGGTGGTGGCGGTGGAATTCGCTCCGGCAAAATACAGCAAAAAAAAACGTAGTGCTTGTCATTACCGTACAAGCATGTGTCGGGATCTGCCCACTCGGTACGTTGCTACATTTACGCTCCCGTCTTGTACCAGGATCTGCGCACGCACTTCGTCGATGGGTACAAGCTCTGTATCGCCCCTACTTTCTTCTCTCTACAGCGACAAGTTACAACCAAAGTCGATCCGACCTAAGACCGATTTCTCAACCCTTAGCCCCCACTTCGTAACATTTGTTTGCGCAACCCAATTCGGCCTCGGGAACGGAACATGCAAGTGAACAACCCTCGCTGTCACAATGCAACCCTGAAAATGTGATGTCGGCCCTTGAGAGCACGAGAGCACAGGTGATGCAGAGAAGGTGAGACCACCAGACAACATAGCAAGCAGACCACACTCGCTGACCACACCCTCCGAGGTTTCACACGGCAGCAGCCGGTGCTTGGGGCTCACCCCCATATCCGGTGCGTGATGATAGCGGTGATCGGGTGCAAGACGCCCATGTTGAGCGTGCGGGCTCGGTACTCGCCGTCCAGGTCCCCGGTAACAGGGCATTGGCTAGCGTAGAAGAGCTGCATGAACCCCGCCTTGCCTACAAAGGTCGATGAACACGTTGCGGATAGAGTATGAAGGGTATGATGGTAATGAAAATGAACAGCTGAGGGCGGGGCCTTGATGGTAGGTGTGTGTCGAGAGTTGGGTTGGGCAGGCCGGTGCTTTACACCATTAGGTAGCAGTCCAGGGTTTCGTGTTCATCTATTGTGTGAGGGGTGGCGAAGGACAGGATACTTGGTTGCTTTTCTTGGGGCGAGGGACGAGGATATCTTTGTTCTTGGGGATCATGCACACCCTCAACACAACTTATAGTCTATGTAGAAGATCTGCCGGGTGCAACGTGGGCAGCGTTTTTTTTTTTGTTTTTTCTACACGGCCAGGTCATCTCCATCAACAGAAAAGCGTCCGGGATAAATTAGCAACAACTCTACAGCGTTAACGGACACGCTACCTGTATTTGTACTGTTCCTCGGGCAGCATATAGCGATATCCCCCCCCCTCTGTTCGTTGCTACTACTGTATGTGCAGTCGAAACACGTGGGGGGAACTTTCGAATTAAAAAATATGTGGGGCGACATGCGTAACCCCACCTTCGTCCTCTCCCGCCTCATGTACGCGAGGATATGCGGATGTCGGAATGCCCCCCGTGTCGAGCCTGCCATGTAGCCCGGCATTGTGAAAATACTGTAGCGATTCCTGATTCTCGCGTGGAGTAGGCAACAGGGGTACCAACAGCAACCGACGCAACACCAGTAGGGAGAACCACGTACAGCACCTCCGTTGGCTGAAGTTCGGGTGAAGCAGCGTTGAACTTCATAGTCAGCAAAGACAGAGAGCAACCTGAGGACAGAATCCCTACGCAACCAGAGCGACGGCAAAATTGCGGCCACTGCACAACACGGAAGCCACGCACCTAGCCTGGCCACGTGATCAGCGGTGGCCTCCTCAGCGGGAACGCCCAGGATCTTGTCTGGTGTTAGCCCCAGATCGCTGTACGGTCTTCCCTGCAGGAAATTCGCGATTGAAGCTGCGACGAGGGTACCGACGAGCCAGGATACAACATACGAGGTCGATGAGATCACGACGGCCGCGACTTCCGGGACGCCTCCGCCCAGGGAGGCGACGAGATGTCTCCCGCGTTGCCGTTGCTGGCGGTGTAGGTCGCGAGCGGGACGAAGCGGCGCAATAGTTGCGGAGGCAGATGATGATGATGCGTCACCTGCTAATCTTGGTCTGTTCGGGGTGAAGGCGGCAGATGTTGCTGTTGCGGGCGCAGGGCAGACAAACGCTGCTGCCAGGGAGGCGCTGGATACCAGTGGCACAACGGTAAGCACGAAGGCGCGCTTCATGCTCCCTTGCTTGAGTCGAGGTTGAAAGGTGTGGGAGAGAATGTTGCATAGCGTGGCAGAAGTGTGTGGCATTTTGGAATATGGCGGGGGGTCCGCGAACACATGTTCAATCATCCCTGCCAGGGTGTCACTGCACAGCCGCTGCCGTAAGTTGTCAACATATCAATGAGATACATCCTCTGCAGGTCTCACAGCGTAGTACTTTACGATCTCACACACTCGTGTATAAGCTGATAGACAGGGTTGCTGGTAGAAAGTCGCTCTGAAGCCTTTTCACACGGGTGGGGGGAGAGAATCAGTCTCTGAGCACAATGCCTAAGATCGCCGGCTTCGACGGGAAGGAGGTAGAGTACGTCGAGGTCCACGATGAGCCATTCCACCGACGGCAGTTCAGCAACGACTATGTCTACATTTACATCGCGGGCTTCAGGCGAGTGTGGCATTCGTAACGAGTGGGGTCAAGAGACTTGACATGCATCACGCACCGGGTCTGCTGTGCATGTCATTTTTGCTGTACTTGAGTTGAAGTTCTCCGTGTTTCGTACGACGAGGAGAGTTCTTGTTCCGCAACGACGCGAGTCAAGGAGGCTGTGATGTCCAAAGATAGCTCTCCCTTGCTCGCCCGTGTTGCCTTCGCCCGACAGGCCCGGCGAAACCTCGCTTTGGCATCGCCATTCCGAGAACACCCTGTACGTGTGCGTGGGACATGGAGCGGCGGCCCTCAACCGGCCAACGGACAAGGTATAAGCTTGCCCGTTGGCACCTTCTTACCCCTTCGTATCCGGCGTGATCGCCATGTGCATGCATGTTGCTGGAAAATGGAAATTCACCGACCGTGTGGTGTCCATGATGCTTGCCTCCGAACAGGGCATGATAGTCTGTCCTGCTGAGGTGAGGACTTGCTTGTTGAGCATCAGATCCATGCTTTTTGGCACGGATTGTACAAGCCAACATGCAAAGTCTAGAGGACGTGCTTATTGGATCTCAGACTTGCCACAGCAAGTGCAGTAGTCCTACATGTCCTTGTTTTCCTGGAGTGTTGCGTGCGAAGCGAGAAGTGGCAACAACCAGAGCGTTTACACAGCCTGTTGTGTTCAGACTGACGTCCGGAATGTATGGGACGACACACACCCCACCGAGAGAGATGCTACTACTGTACTCTACGGCGCACACCGACGGCGAAGTCTGCTGCTGACGGGCAGGGTCTTGCAGCTTGAAGACGCGGGGTGGATGAAGTTGCAAGATTGTGTGATACGCGGTTGGGGGAAGTGGCACTCAAAGGCGAGCCGTCGTCCTTGCCACTAAGTCAGTATCCTGTGTACAACGGTCATTTTGGAAGCCCTTCGGTTCTTCAAGGAGCACCTTTCCTCCGATCCTTGCAAACCTCCAACATCCTACCCCATGTCTCATTACTGATTGACAGCTCCGCTTTTGACCTGAATCCTCAATGCCCATCTCGTCAGCCGGTGATTCGTGTTGCCTGATCTCTGCACCTGTACTCAGATTGACAACCATAGCCATGTCATTCTTAGAAAGCAAGTTGCCTGCGCTAATACAGCTCTAATTCATGTCAGGGAAACCAGGTGGCTGTCAAATGTGTGTGTCGGAGACGACGACGCACGGTATGCAAACTGCGAAAGCCCCTATCCACACGAGGAAGTTATTCCACAGCCGGTTTTCTTCGCAGCGACACATTGCAGCGACAAGCGACAGAGTCGAAATGAATCCCCCCCAGCTTCTTTTCGTGGGGCTCTTCCGTTGCTGTTCTTACCATCGTTTTATCCAAGTTGAGCAGGGGGGGTGGAGGGGAGTTGTGGCATTGAAGGCATTCCGTTTTTTGTTGGTGTAGTTCAAGGCGGAGAACCTACATACCATGTATCTACCTCATTTGTCTAGTCTATACAGAACATGCCACTTGGCATCGAACTTTGACGTCTTCAGGGCGGCTCTCTCGAGGCCCACCACCAAATGCACGTTGTCACGCTTTTTCGTTGCCGCATACCATCAATTTTTACGTTTTCCCTCAAATGCCACAACCGTCACTTCTGTTTGCCAACGGACCGTATCCCGCTGGTTGTCGCCTCGACTTTTCTTGGCCTCTGCCTGGACCCTATCCATACAACAACCGTCACTTTTGTGTGCTATCGGACCCTGAACCCGCTGGTTGCCACGCCGACTCTCTCCCTCTTCCTGAACCTTATCCATACCGCAACCGTCACCTTTTTTTGCCAACGGACCCTATCCCACTGGATGCCACCCCGACCCTTAGCCTCTGCCCAAACCTTATCCATACCACAACCGTCACTTTTGTGTGCTAACAAGCCCTTGTCCCGCTGCTCGTCGCCCCGACTGTGCCCCGCTCCGAAGGAGCCTTTCGTACACCACGCTTCGCCGGGGGACCTCTGGTGGGCCATGAGCAAGAGCGCCCCCTACGTGCACCAGGTCTGCCTCCTTCCGGAGAACACTCACAACTCGCACTTCTTCGCCATGGAAATCCTCAGACCGCCACCCACTTGCTCGAGACGCGCCCTCGACCACCGCTGCTACAGCCTCCGGGAGGAAGACAGCCGCCCGGGGCTCGCTCGCGTCTACGACTTCAGGCTTGAGCCCGGCGAATCTACGGGGCCTCACACGCTGGGATTCAGCGGGGTGGTGCTCTGCCTTTCCGATGGCGGGGGGAGCCTGGAGGCCGATGGCGGCGTCTTTGCGGGCGGAGAGCTGTCGAAGGTCGGGGGGTGGAAGTGGATCGACGGCCCTGTCAGCGCCAACGCGCGAAATGCGGGCGGCAGTGTCTACCAGGCTTTTGTGGTGGAGTGGCTGGGGGAAGGCCACTCGGTGGAAGGCTTGTCCAGGCTTTGATTGGAGCAGCATGTTTGTACCCACTACGCACGATTCTGAGGCGAGATTTTGTTCGCGCATGGGTGTGCGTTTTCCCAGGGTCATATAGCGACGCTATGTGTGGATGTCGCTGTTTGTGGCTAGAGGTGTGTTACTTATCATGTACTTCTGTGCCATCGGTTCCCGTGGTGAGGGCTGCAATTTGCCGAGGTTCGGTAGTTGTCTTTGATCGCTAGGTGATCATTGCAATGTGTGCATGGTGTCCTATCTACTGAAACGTGCTGTGTGTAACAAAGACGTGGACATAAAGTTCTCCTACGGCGGCTGGATCTTCCAGCTCGTACTCTTAACACCATTGTATGGTAGGCACGTTCAGTATCACAGATGCAAAAGCTGTATAAGAATTAGTTAGCCGGCCAACCACAAAAACCTTGCTTCCACACGTGCCTTGCAAGCGTAGGAAAAATTAGGGACAGGTTAGGAAAGAATGTGAACAAGAGGGCATATCACCGACAACAACAAGGACGGCAGGAGGGGAGGTCGCACTCAATGCATCGACACTCTCAATGTTCTCAAAGTGCTTTGCCTCCTTTGGTTGGTAGATGTTTTAGCGTGAGAACATCTCATTTTAGACTTGTGTTGTTCTGTAAGTCGACTCGTGCTCCAATCCGCCTTCTTCGGGCCGAAGCTGACTGACGCCGCCATGGCCAAACACGAACTGGTATCACGCAGCCAGATTCTAAGATTGCCATAGATGGCAACGTGATCGTTGTTCTGGGTAAGTCTTCTTCTGATCCGGCTTCAAGCCTTGCTTCGAACCTTTCACAACGATGAGGCAGAAGCGAGACCCGACTGCCGGTAGGGGTCTAGGTGACGTAGGATGAATGCATCAGTCCACACGTTGCACACATGGGGACAGTCGTGACTCTTGGCGTGAATGTCTTACTGAGCAAAATCGCGGAAGTTTAGGGCGATTGGTACTACAATGCACACCTTTTTATCCACCGATTCCCGAGGGCAGCCAGAGGCTCTTTCCCTCATAAAGCGGTACTGATATGTCTAAAGCGAAGTGTCATCTGTCTGAAGCGAAGTGCCATCTATGTTAGGTGAAGTGCGAAGCGGGTTCGCTACCCTCGCCTGCACGGGACAAGCATGGAAATCGACACCTAAGATTGCGATCCCGGTACCTTTGTACCTGCTGTACGCGGTGTGCTCAAGGACCTGTTCGTCACCCGGTGCAACAATGTTGAAAATGCGCGAAAGGCCATCACGTCTTCGAGGAAGCCGACGCACAGGCGTCATTCAAAGAAACCATCGTATCCAGACAATTTTACCTTGCCTGGGTGCAGAACTACAACGGCACTCAACCAAAGCTGGTGCAATGTAAAAATACGATCTCAGCGTACATGCCTCTGCGAAAATTACTACATAACTCCGTAAGGCATGTGCCTGACAAATCCTCTGCCTCCGACACTCGTGTTGCCTCCTGGTCGCATAGATCGAGCTCTTGAAGCGTGCAGGCTTTCGTAACATGGTCATGCCTCGACAATCGTTTAGCTCGCTGCTCTTCCTCCAGACACTGCCGAAACAACTCCGTCGCTTCCTCCAGCCGCCCTTCCCCACGAACGCAAACACCAAGCCAGTGCAGTGTGTCGGCGACCTCCATATTCTCTGGACCAGGCCTGGCCTCCTCGATCTGCAAGCACCGCCTCAAGAAGTCTTCCGCCTCTCCCAGCCGACCTGCTTCTTGAACGCAGCGGCCCAGTCGGTATAGCGTGTAGGTTACTTTCGAGCCCCTTGGGTCGGTTTTCGCTTCCGCGATCCCCAAAGAGCACCTCAGCAACCCCTCCGCCTCCATCAGCTGCCCCGCTCGTCGAAGGCAACCACCCAACTCCAGCACCGTGCCTGCCACCTGGAGATGCTCTGGACCCAGTTGAGCTTCGTCGATCTCCACACAGTGCCTCAACAACTCCTCCGCGTCCCCCACTCGCCCTGCGTCTCGCACGCACGCGCCAATCCACCTTGGCGTGCTGGTCGCCAAACCAATGCTCTGGGCCAAACCTGACCTCATGGATCTTGAGGCAACGCCTTAGCAAACCCTCTGCCTTGTCCATACGCCCTGCCTGTCGCATGCACCTACCCAGATCGAACAGCACGTCGGCCACATGTTCATGATCTAGGGCCGTGCTGGCCTCCACGATCTCCAAACGGCGCGCCAACAACTCCTCCGTCTCCACCAGCCCCCCTTCCTCCCGAAGTCAAATGCTCAGCTGCTTCACTGTGCTGGCCGGCCGAAAATTACGAGGACCTAGCTTTGCCTCCCTAGTTGCCAAACAGCGTCTCAACAACTCCTCGGCCTGCGCGAATTGCCCTGCTGCACGAACGCATCCACTTAGATCCAACGTTTTAGCCACGGTCACATGCGTGAAGCCAAGCAAGGTCCCCCCAATCACCAGGCATCCTCTCAATACCTCCTCCGCTTCTTCAAGACACCCAGCGTGCTTGTAGCCTAGACCGAGCTCGTGCAGTGAGCGGATCACCGACAGAGAGTATGGGCGCACCTTGGTCACCGGCATATCGAGTAACCTGCGGCACGTGGCAATTGCTCCCTCTCAATCTTCCTCGTGACGTTGAAATTTTGCCACAGCCACCACGGACGTTGGGCGGTGGGGATCAGAATCTTCCAGCCCGGCCAGCGCCGCCTCGTACGGACGGGTGATTTTCCACCCGTCGCCACCCACCTGCTCCGCGCCCAACCACAGATCTCTTACTTCATGCCAGCGCACTGCCCGGAGAGTATCCACAGACGAGATATTCCTCGTCCACCTCACCAACGCAGGTCGGCACACGTCCCCACGGTCCATGAGCTTCTCCCTCGCGAAGTCCGAGTGGGCGTCGTGCAGAACATAGTGGCTCCCTCTCCAAGCCATTCGGTAACATCCCCTTATAGAGCACAGGGCGGACCAGCGTTCCAGAATCTCCACCACCCCTGCAGCAGATGCCTCATCCTCGGCGCTAGGCATTCGATCGTAGATCAACACGGCCGCGTCCTTCACCGTAAACCTACGGCCGTCCGGTAATACTGCAAGAGATAGGTACAGCCGCTGCACGCGCTCGTCGTCTGATCCAATGGCGAGATCCCCAAACCCAGCCTGGACGACGGCCTTCCGCCGTGCATCGCGAGTCTCCACCACCGTACCGCGAACGCCCTCGCACTCGCCCTTACTCATCTCTGTCCTGACTTTGCTGGCGGCTTTCGACCAAGCCGTCCGGTCTGACCTGCCCCGAACGGTGCTCAAACGACCACCGAATGCCAGGTCCATCGCCACGCGCCCACACAGCTCGATCAGGTCAACGGCATCATCGGGCAAGCGCGTCTCGGGGGGTAGCTCCGCTGCTTTCCTCAGCACCGACTCCGCTTCTACCTCGGACAACTCGTTCACTTCCACAACCTCCCCCTCCCAGCCTGTCACCAGCTCTTCGTCGCGGGTCGACAGAAGAACCCACATTCCCGCTTCCAGCAGTTCGCAGACGACCTCCTTCTCCCACACGTTGTCTACCACTCCGAGGCATTTCAATCCTTCGCCCCCATGGCCGCGGTGCATTCGCTCCTTGATGTAGGCTGTACCGTCATCCGATGTGGCTGGACGACGACCGCCAATTTCCTCATACACCATATGGGCAAGCTGCAGCATCAAGGACGGGAGACGATCCTTTACATCATGATTTGCCGTCAACCACACGATACCGTCGGAGAAAACTCTCCCGCACTTCGTTACTCCTGACGATCTCGGACGCGGCCGTGGTCTTGCCCGACCCGCTGTCGCCGACCAGCCCCACCAAGGGCGGTCCCCCATCGGCAGTAAGCGGCTCAAACACCCTTTCCACTACATCGAAGCGTTCGACATGCCAGCTCTTCCAAATTGGTGTGCTCTTGGGAATTTTGGCCGGCTTGGCCGGTGTCTTGGATAGCCGGTCAGTAATGATTTCCGTATTTGCCAGGATCACTTCTTGAGTTGCTGCTTGTATTTTGGCCATTCGCTCCTGGAAATGCATAGTGCCGCATACACAGGTCACTTGAGACACGCACTTTTCGTGACACTTGAATACCTCCAAAAGCATCACCACGACTTACTGATTTTCTGCAGCTTTACAGATCAAATACATTGATACACAAGTGCACCGGACGAGGCGGGTGAAGAGAGGGCTAGACACATGATTTGGTCCTTTCGATGTCAACGTTTCCACTTTCCTCAATCTACGGCACTGCGGTGGGCAAGGGAGAACCATGCTCGAGGCATGATGTTGTGGAGCTACAACAGCTGTTGTGGAGAATCGAGTTGCACACGGTGCCTAAATGTCCTTTGGTTTCTGCCTTGAAAAAACAAGTTGTCGGTGAATTTGAACCCTGTCCCGGGGAGAAAGTCATGTAGAGAGGGAGGATTCCTTTGTGTTACTGTTTTGCCGTTTTTCCCGGGGAAAAAACCAAAGTATTGACAAATGCTCGGTCGAATGTGGGGAGATTACGCCGCAGGGAGGCGGGGGCACTGCTTCGTGCAAGTGCGGGGTGAAAGCGGCGCGTTCGATCCGAACAACGAGGATACAGCGGGTGGCCCGACATAGTGCCGGTTGAATAGTGCCGGTTGCCGTAATAGTGCCGGTGTTTTTGGCTCGCACACACCGGAATACCAAGTCGTTCTGTACCTCGAAAAGTGCCGGTGTCCGGTTTAGTGCCGGTGAATTTTCTCTGCACATACCGGCACCATATCGGGCCACCCATTGTATCTTCTTCTTTGTGGTGCTACAGTCGCGATTAATGATGATAAATATCACCCGGGGGAGACGCATTGTAAACTCGGTGGTAACCAGGGAGAGAGGCATCCCGCGAGTCAACACAACCAAACCTCACCACCGTCGCCCTCAAGTCGCTGGTCTTCCCCTCAAGAATGGCGACACCCGCCAGGCTCAAGTTGGCCTCCAGATCTCTGATGTTTGCCTTCATGCGGGCGATCTGGTCCTTGTCGCTCGAGGCATTTAGCACCCTTGTCATCTTGCCTCGCCCACCACACCGCTCCACCAGTTCCCCCGCTGCTTCCAGGCACTCCTCGACAGGTGACACGTCCATCTCCGAGAAAGAGCTCTGTCTGCTTTTCACGATCACGCATGTGGTTAAGAACACGCACCTCCGATACAAAGTCTGGAGCTCCTCCTGATTTTCTGCACGTTCTCCACCGTCTCACGGAAAGCCGTGAGCGTCTTCAACACGGGTCTAAGATGAGGAAGCAAGGTTTCACCAAAAGGAAGGTCCTCGCACAAGTCCGCCACGAATGTGATCGAATCCACCGTGGCCGATCCCATCTTCAGGGCGAGCTTGGTCACCTCAGCTGCGGCACCACTTGACTCGGCCGCCATGGTCGCCTAATCGCATTCGCCAGTTGAGCTCTCGACTTGCACTAGCTGCGTTCTGGTACCCTGACAACGGGGAGAGAGCGAACGTTAGCGTTGAGACAACAGCTAACCGGTGACTTGCCCTGGGATACAGAATACCGTAGTACGTCAAATTGGGTGCTGTGCGCAACGAACAGCAAGACGTTCGGCTGCCGAGTTCAGCAGAACGTGCTCCAGTCTAATAGACGCCGAGGGGAACGTGCACGGAAGAGCGGTTCCGATTCCGATCCCAAAACACGCCACTATCTTGCCATCGAAATGCGAAACTTGCTGTGTCCGAGCACTCACCACCCGTCTAGGAGTAGTTGGTCATCATTTTTCAAAAGGGAAAGTGCCTGCGTAGAAGCTGCTAATTTGCAAAGCGGGGCGAGTCTGTCGCAAACGCGGGTCGGTGCAAGTTGTCGTTCATCCTAGGTAGAGCCATGGCTTGAGAGCACAATGCCCGGTGCAAAGACGATCGTTCATCAGCTCAGTGGAGAAAGATTGACCGACCAATGCACCGAGAGCTAGAGTGCTTGCAACCTGGATCTAAAACGGACTTCCCTGCCCTGCTCTCATCTGTGTTTAGCGGCATGGACCCCAAAAATGTTTTCAGGATAATACCCCACGATAGGTTCTCTTTTGTAGCGATCCAGGCCCTGATTGTGCCAAAGGTCAACACGGGGGTGCACAGCAGTACTGCTGCGTACGAGTGTTGCATTTACATTTTTTTTTTATCTACTTCATCTTAAGAATGGCACCTACAGGCAACTCTCCTACGCCCTGACCCTGAAGAGGGTTGTGTCTGGCAACGGCGCTCACCATTCGCGGGAGCATTGGCAAGGCAACCGGACGGGCGACTCCCGAAACAGCTGATGTTTANGGGGGGGGGGGGGGGGGGGGGGGGGGGGGGGGGGGGGGGGGACCCAGACAGGGGGACACCGGAGCAGAACTGCCTGACGTGGCTGAAGGACGATTTCAGCGCGTTCAGGTCTACACACGTATCCACGAACGACGATTCATGTGTATTCGGAGTCCCGAAATTAGTTTGGACGGAAGCAGCGAAAGTGGAGCGGGGTGAACCATGGCATTCGGGGGTACGGCCGGGAGCTGAGAAGTTTATGACCGCCTGGCACAAGGACGACGAGCGCTGAAACCAGACGAGGAAACCAGCAACAGCACAGGTATGGCAACAACAAGGGAACGAGAGGGGGGGGCACCAGACGTACGAGAGGGGGGGCAGACCGCGTGAAGCGATATAGGCCGAATCAAACTCCTTTTTCGCTGACCCTCCCCCCCTTGAGGAAATTACACGTGCTTATAGCTGTCTCTGTAAATGAAAGCACATGAAAATAAATTAAGTCAAACGCAGCTGTCATCCGTATGCAAAGAGAAAGCACAAGATGCCGAACACCCTTAGCAGGACGCAGAGCACCCTTCATGCGACTCGCCGAGTACATCATGGTGCTTCGCGCTTGGTGATGTGAGAGTCTGGTCCGGTGAGAACCCGGCGTGCTCCGTCCCGGCTTTGTAGGGATGCGAGGTCAATGGTCTACGACTACGGCATGCACGACTATGAGAACACCCTCCCCCCCTCCCCGTGATTGTACCAGTGCATCAACCCCCCACGAGTGATGACATGCCGAGGTTGTGGCTAGTGGCCCCGATTGTGTTTATTCGCTTGTGATTGCAGCGGTTTCGTATATTTGTCCGTGTCTTGTCTACAGTATTTTATGCTCTCCTGCCTCGTAATCTTTTTCTTTTGCCCTTTTCGTTTCTTCCCCGGATGGCCTTCTCTCGTTCTCTGTGAAGTACCAAGATTGAACCAGGGGATGTACCTCTCGCACTACCTGTGATGAATTCCGGATCATTTCTGCCTCACATATCGGGTGTGTAGAGGGTAGCGGACGGCCCCAGACTATCTGTCGTTGATTTGAAGTGGCTTGAGGACCCTTCGGGTCCATTCTCTTTGAGTATATACCATTTTTTTAGGTAAGTTATGTTCGTGGGTCTGCGAACANGTGTGAAGGATGGTCGTCTACCTCCCGTGAAGTTAATACATCACCAAAACAGTCTCACCCGATAAATAAGTGGCGTAGGCCGCAAACACTCTAGAGGCCGCCGGCCCACTCCGGCANATACCATTTTTTTAGGTAAGTTATGTTCGTGGGTCTGCGAACATTGTTGTTGGATACATGTGCTGGATGATTTTGTGTCACGCAGACTGGTAAGATTATCGTTTGGTAGGGGGCACCTCGATGATTCA